GGATGAGAAAGTTATGCTCGACTTCGTGGACACTACCGAAGATGTTGAGGGATCCTCTCTTCTATTTTGATTTTATTTTCCTAATTGCAACTCTTTTCTTACTCTTTGATCATTTTTGCTTCATGGACACCTAATTATCAATTTGTACCTATGGAATACTAAATCCACCAATTAAAACAGAAATATAAATTAGTCCATCAAAAAATCCACGTAAACGTAAACGTTGAGTGTTATTTCTACACTCCACTGTATCTTTTGTATCTTGTGTTTTTGCTGTTGTTTGGTTATGCGCATTAAAGTCCTAGTGTTGTACTCCGTGTTTTTAAGAACGTTGTTGCGAATGCACTTTTGCGCATGTTTTTCTACACGTTTGTGCTTGTCCATTTGAGCGAGTGTGTTTGTGCATGTTTGTTGATTTGTATTAAAGTCCTAGGATTGTAGATTGAGTTTTCATGATCCTTTTTGCGAATGCTGTTTTGCGTGAGTATTTTTGTGCATGATTTTGTACTTTTACTAAGGAGCGTATCCTTTGTAGCGAGTGTTTTAGTGCACGTTTCATGATGCGCATTCGTGTCCTAGAACTGTAGCGGGTATTTTCATGATCGCTGTTGGAATCCAATTTTGTCCATCATCGAGTCCGAATTTGGAAATTTGACATTAGACAGGAACTGTAGCCACCTGAAATAGCTTTCTATTTCCGCACGGAACCAGTCGATTTGAAGTCCGGATGAGAAAGTTATGCTCGACTTCGTGGACACTACCGAAGATCCTGAGGGATCCTCTCATCTATTTAGATTTTATTTTCCTAATCGCAAGTCTTTTCTTACTCTTTGATCATCTTTGCTTCAGGCACACCTAATAATAAATTTGATCCTATGGAATACTAAGTCCTCCAATTAAAACAGAAATATAAATTAGTCCATCAAAAAATCCACGTAAACGTAAACGTTGAGTGTTATTTCTACACTTCACTGTATCTTTTGTATCTTGTGTTTTTGCTGTTGTTTGGTTATGCGCATTAAAGTCCTAGTGTTGTACTCCTTGTTTTTAAGAACGTTGTTGCGAATGCACTTTTGCGCATGTTTTTATACACGTTTGTGCTTGTCCATTTGAGCGAGTGTGTTTGTGCATGTTTGTTGATTTGTATTAAAGTCCTAGGATTGTAGTTTGTGTTTTCATGATCCTTTTTGCGAATGCTGTTTTGCGTGAGTAGTTTTGTGCATGATTTTGTACTTTTACTTATGTGCGTATCCTTTGTAGCTAGTGTTTTTGTGCACGTTTCTTGATGCGCATTCGTGTCCTCGAACTGTAGCGGGTATTTTCATGATCGCTGTTGGAATCCAATTTTGACCATGTTCGAGTCCGAATTTGGAAATTTGACATGAGACAGGAATTGTAGCCACCTGAAATAGCTTTCTAATGCCGCCGAAACCAGTCGATTTGGAGTCCGGATTAGAAAGTTATGCTCGACTTCGTGGACACTACAGAAGATGTTGAGGGATCCTCTCTTCTATTTTGATTTTATTTTCCTAATTGCAACTCTTTTCTTAGTCTTTGATCATTTTTG